CTCTTGTTTCTTTATCAAAGCCAACTCCTCTGGCCCAGTGACATGATGAGTCTGAGAGGCCAGTCTCCTTAGAGTTGCCAGAAATCTTCCCACATGTTGCTTTTGTCTCTCAAGTTCCTTTCCTCTATCATCTGCATATGCAATCTCATCCATTTCTCAGGAACTTGGCAGATACTATGAGGAGACTGAAACATCAAACTGTGGTGTAAATAAATACCTTTCAAGGTTCCTCTCAGTCTGACCTAGGTGCCTATGAAAACCAAAAATGAACAGCTGCCAGTAAGAAAAGTAAAGATTTTATAAACATTTCCTGTTCAGCTAAGTAGGTACTTACTAAATACTTCATGAGAAGTACTATGCCAAAGATTTCACAGTAATGATAACTGAAATTCATTAAAAATGCTGCCACTGCCCTTTCGTTTCCAGAGACCAGAATTTCCTAATTCAAACCAGTGTCCAAACTCCAAATGCTACCAAAGCCCATTGTTTTGGTTGCTTCATGCAGCTTTAACAGAAAGTATACCACAAATGGTAGACTTACAATTTTGGAGTCCAGAAGTCTGAGTTCAAAGCATAACGCTCTAGGGGCTGGGTGAAAGCCCTTTAACCTTGGGCTTCAGCTCTGCTTCCTATTCCTGGCTCACTGAAGCTGAAGGGTTTTCTTACTCAGGCAGCTACTGGCTGCTGAGGCTAACAAAGCCAGGGTTAGCAAGTAAAAAGGCAGAGTCCCAGTATTAGAAAAAACAGGCCATGAATTCAAGTCCACACAGAGTCCCAAGATCAGCAGAGCATGGCAGGCTGCTGAACAACAACTTGGCTACATGCAGAGCTCAAGCTTGCCAAAAAGCTGGAAAACTTCCTCAAAGTTGCTTCTTATATACTGGAAGCAGACCACACTCCTAAAGCAGTCACTTAGCTGCTCCAGTAGATTCCACCACGGAGTTAATTACCAATCTCACCATGGGAAATAACTACATCCAGCTGCCCAGCCGTTCGACCAGCTCCAACCAAGTTGACATATAACCTTACCTACCACTCCCATGTTTGGTAGTCTCTGGGGCCTTTGTCAGCCCATTTCTTTGGTTTCTTGATCTGGGCACCTTTGCTCAGGATGCTTTTCTTCCCGCTCCATGAGTAGACAACCAGTAACTTTCTTCCCTCAGCTAAAACATCATCTCCTCACCAAGTTCTCCCCAAGGGGGACTGTTCCTGAGGATCTTTGCAGGGTCCTCCACTGCAGCACTGATGGCATTCTACTTTGTCTAAAGCTGCTTGTTTCTGCATCTGTCTCTTCACGTTGAGTGAAAGGTCCTTAACAGCAGGGAGCAGGAAAATCACATCTCACAGTTTTAGTATCCCCGGTGCAGCACCTTGGCACATAGTAATACTCTTATCACTTATTCTTTCACAAATAAGGAAATGAGTATCTCAAATGTCTTCTAGATCAAAATTTGGTCAATAAATGGAAATTTTGTAGGGACTAAATTAAGGTAGCTATCTGGGTGGCTAAGGCACTTGACTGCTAACCAGAAGACTGGCGGTTCAAACCCACCAGCCACTCCCCGGAAGGAAGATGGGGCAATCTACTTCCGTAGTGATACTGCCTTGGAAACCCAAGAAGGGGTCGCTATGAGTCGGGTCCGACTCGACGGCACATAACAACAACAACAACAACAGTCTGGTGTACCACTTCCCAAAGGCTGCTATAACAAAGTACCAAAGGTGGGTAGCTTTAAACTACAGCAATTTTTTGTCTCAACATTCTAGGGGCTAGTAGTCTGAATTCAAGGTAGGGGGAGGGCCATGCTGTCTGTCAGTCTGAGGTGAAGATCCTTTCTTGGGTTTGTCAGCTTTTGGCAGCCCAGCATTCGCTGGCATGTAGCTACGTGTTTATGCAGCTATCTTCCTTCTGTCTCTGTTCTTTGTGTCTGGTTCTCCTTTCTTATAAGGCACCACCTGAATTAACAGGCCCACCCTACCCCAGTGTTACTTCATGTTAACTGGTAAGATCTTCAAATACCCTATTTCCAAACAAGGTCACGTTTATGGGTACTGGATTAGGAATCAACACAAATTTTAGAGATGCACAGTTCAACCTATAACACCTCAGACATGTGAACTACCATCTAAGGACTGAATAGCCTGATGACTGTGTGCAGATTTCAGATCAGTGTGGGCGGAGCAGAAGCAGGGGCCAGCTGCACAGAAAGAACATGGGTTTAGGGCAATCCAGTGGGGGGCTGGAACTAGCTCTGACATTTCCTAGGTGGTGGCTTTGGGGATGTTACTTAAGCTCTTTGAGTCCTAGTTTTAATCCCTAAAATCAGGACAATCACTGGACCTGACTTCTATGGTTACTATGAAGATTAAATGAGATAAAACACCAGATGCCCTAAACACAGGGATTATCACAGTACTGACAAACACCTGCTGACCACCTTTTATGTGTCAAACACCTTCACATGCTGAAGATGCCACAATGAAGAAAACTGCATACCTAACATGAACAAGGGTAATGTGGAAGTGAGAACAGGAAGTAGCCCAGCAGCTTTGAAACAATGGCTACCACAGAATTAAGGGCAGGGTGCCAAAGGACAGACAGGAGGGACAGAATCAGTTTGGGGTGGGCACTGGCATCATCCACTCTCTAAACCTGCTACCACATCTCTCTCAAATGTACTACACTCAGTCTATGTAGAACTGAGCTTCAGAACAGGCAAGCTCATGGCTTCAGCTGAGCTAACTGGGTCCCAGCATCCTCAATTAGGAATTGTTTTGCACAACTTGAACCCAACACTGACTGGCTAAAGGATATATTAGAAAGCCTTCTAAAGGTTTCAAAGCACTTATCACAGACAGCTGGCCTGCAAACTTGAAGTGCTAAATTAGAGACATCAAGGACTTAGAGTGATTTTCTGGAGCGTCTTCCAGGAGACGGTAGGGAACAATGTATTTTGACTTGTGGGCCTGCCAGTTTTTTTTTTTTTTTTTTTTTTCTTGTTAAGCAGACAGTTATCATAATTTTAACCCAGATGCAACATTTTTGCATCTTTCTAAATCTCACTAAGAAGTTCCAGGGTTCTCTGGAGAAAAGGCTGATTCCAGGGCTAGATCAGGGGAAGGATATAAGAGGAACCTGAAATACCATGATGCAAAGTACCAAAAATCAAACCAAATTCACTGCTGTCAAGTTGGATCTGACTCAGCGACCCCTGTGGATGGAAAGTATCCCCCCCCCAAAAAAAAAGAAAGAAAGAAAGAAAAAGAAAAAAGATGGAGTACATTAAAAAGACATAGCCAAAATCCAAAACGGACCTCCACTGGCCAAATCTGGAACAGTGGTGGATTATCCTATCCAACAAAAGAAGAATCCAAGACTTGATTCCGATAATAAAGAAAGAAATAAAAGAAAAAGAAATGGTCATAGGGGAACATTTTTTTCTTCTAGTAGAATGCTGACGAATAATTATAGAAAGAATGTTGGGAGTTGGATTTCCATTTTGAAGCCATTACAAAATGAAAAATAATAACTACGCATTAATGATGCCACATGATCAAAATTAAGTTCACCAGCGAGGGGCAAATGCACATTATGTATCTCTAGGTGTGTTGCATTGAGAAAGGACACAACATCACTTCTGTAGTAATCCCTCAATCTTATCATGAGGAAACATCTGACAGATGCAAATTTAGGGCAATTCTGCAAATTATTGGGTCTATATTCTTCAAAAATATCATGAACAGCAAAGAAAGGCTTGCAGAACTATCTCAAATTAAAGAAACTTGTCTATTAAAGGCAATCTGGATTCTAAACCAGAAAAACCCAAATCTAAACCCACTGCCATCGACTCATAGCAACCCTACAGGACAGAGTAGAAATGCCACATAGGATTTTCAAGGCTGTAAATCTTTACTGCCACATCTCTTTCCCACAGAGTAGCTGGTGGGTTCGAACTGCCAACCTTTTGGTTAGTAGCCAATGCCTTAACCACTGTGCCACCAGAGTGCCTCATACTACACAAGAAAGCCATAAAAAACAAACAGTTGCCAGAATAGGCATACAGCTACCAGAGCAGTAAAAAAATTGTATCAATGTTAAATATCCTAATTTGGATAACTGTACTGTAGTATGTAAAGAAGATACTTTTCCTTAGTGTTCTGGTTACTTAGTGCCACTCTGACAAGATTATACCACAAATGGGATGGCCTTAACAAACAGGAGTTTCTTCTTAAAATTTGGAGGCTGTAAGTCCGAGTTCAAAGTGCCAGGCTCTAGGGCCTGGGTGAAAGCCCCTCGACCTTGGGCTTCAGTTCTGCCTCTTGCTACTGGCCCACTGAAGCTAGAGGCTTTTCTTCACTCAGGCAGCTACTGGCTGCTGAGGCTAACAAGCCCAAGGTAGACAAATAAGACAGCACAGTCCTGATGTTACCAAACAACATGGCAGGCCATTAACTCAAGTCCATTTTAAGATCCAAGGTCAGCAGAGTACGGCAGGCTGCTGAACAACAACATAGTTACATGAAGGGTCCAAGCGTGCCATAAGCTAGAGATCATTCCTAAAGCTGCTGCTTACATATGGGAAGCAGGCCACATACCCAAAAAGAGCTACTCAGCTGTTCCCAGTAGATTCCACCATGGAGTTAATTACCAATCTCATCATGGGGAATACTACATCCAGCTGCCCAGTCACTCAACCAGGCCTAGACAAGTTGACACACAAATTTAACCACCACACTTAGGAAATATACACATGTATTAAGGCACAATATCTACTGTATTACTTTCAATAGTATAGGGAAAAAATATCCATACATGTAGATAGATAAAGTATGACAAATGTTAAACAACAGGTGACCATGAGGAAAGGTAATGGGAGTTCTTTGACTACCTTTGCAACTTTTTTGGAAGTTTAAACTTATGTCAAAGGAAGCCACTGCTCCCAGTCCATTTGGCTACCACTGAACCCCCTAGCCCACCCCTGCTTTCTGTTTGGACTCACCATTCTTCTAAGAATCCTCAGTAGAAGCTTCTGCTCCTTGGGGTCCTTCTTTGATGTAAGTAATTCAGCAAAGCTTTCTGCATTTTCAGGAGTCAGGCTATCTGGGTTTTCCCCTCCATATAGCTGAACCAATATAGACAGACATTTGGACGAAACCTCAAAAATTTCAGGATCTTCATTAGGAAGCTGAAAATAAACAAACAGGACTACTTAAGCTCCACAGAAAATTTCTTCTTCCTCAAGAAAAAAGAGTAAAATTTGACTTAATCATGGGAAGAGTCTGAGTACAAAGTCTCACTCGCTGAATATTTTCTTTAAATATATATTTTCCAAACTGTAACTCAACCTACGCTAGTAGCATAAAATCCGAATTAGGTCCTGTGCTGCCCCTTCTTTAATATATAGAAAAAAACAGCATGAAACTGTCAGAAAAAAAAAAAAAAAAAAAAAAA